ATAATATAGCATAGATATTTTAAAACTTTTTGTTACACAAAATTGTTGTAGATGTTTTTACAATTGTGAATTTTGAGATTTAGTATGAAACACTTGCAAAACCTTGATAAAAACAAAAACTTAAAATTTTTGGTAAAAAACTTGAAAATCTTGTAGAAATATTGAAAAATTTAATATATAATTTATAACAACTAAAAATATATATATATATATATAAAATAGGCCTATGTATAACCAGTCCTAATCTCTATCCCAAAACCCAGATCGAGCCGGGCTTGGCCCATTTGGCCATCTCTATTCTCTAGGTGATGGCTAGTTGGCTACAACAATGACAACAACAATAGCGGTGGTGGGGGTGGTAAAGGATGGTGGCAATGTTGGTCGTGTTTATAATACGTCAGGTTTTTTTTTAGTTTTGACTTACTCAAAAAATAAGTGAACAAAATTGAATTTCATCACATATATATACGATGAAAATGATTAAACTGACAAATGATAAAACATATGTAATTCAATTAGTTTTTTTTTGTGGCAAACCAAATAACTAAGTGAAATTTGGTCAATAAAATTGGACATTGCAATTCCATCATCTTCCATAGGAATCCCGAGAATAAAAAACGTCCCCTGAAAAGACTCGAAACCCTTCGGATTGTTATCCATAAAAAACACGGTATCAATACAAATTGATTTGTATAAATCACAAGCACGTAAAACATAAAACACAAATTTGACAAAAAAAAAAGTATATGACGTCATCCTTGAGAGCGGCCCTAACATTTTTGTCTATTATTATTGGGACGTAAATTGTGTCACGGAAGCAGATTGGAGGTTCTTAGAGTTGAACCTCATGCCTCCGTTTTGCTAGGACTTATTTGTGACTCATAGCTTATTCGGTAAGTTATGCATGACGGTTTGATAGTGACATAATGATATAGAAAATGACTTATTCAGTAGAATTGTAGGAGAAGCTTTATGCAGAAAGCCAGATTTTTTTTGTCCAAACAACAAAAATCATTCCCAATCTATAGAGAATACAGACTGTTTATATAAATAATTTAATTCATACAGAATTAAACATCTTATAAATAAAACCAGGAAAAAACATGAAATAAAGTTTTAATATGTTAATTTGAAATTTTAAATGTTTTCTATTCATAATAAATTCCTACGTGATGGACGTCTTTATCTTCGCATTCATATATGAATTTAATTTGTTTGGCATACCATAAATACATATGTTGACAATTATGTAAGGATTTTATTAGAGAAAATACACTATTTATTAAATAACAAGTATTATTTTGTGAAAAAAATATCTAGAAAATTACCATTCACACCCCTGATAAAAAGAGAAAGTGGCGTTATGCCCCTTGGTTCTATAAGGGTGTGTTTGATATCCAAACAACATAGGACATGACACGAAAAATGTTCAGCATTTGGTAAGACAACACTGGATAAATCAGAATAAGTAAAATGACTAATTTATCACTACTGAGTTGTTTATATATTTTGATTAATTTATGTAATTACTATAAAATTATTTTTTTTAACAAAATAAAAAGTTTATGTAGTTTCAAATATTTATATTATCCTAATCTACATTATTTTTTATTATTAATGTATAATAAATTACATAAATTAATAAAAATATAGAAACTGTATAAAAATAATATTTTGATGATAGTAAATGAAAGTTTAAAAAGAAAAAAAAATACAATAAATAAAATTTAAAGAATAAATAAAATATAAAAATGAGAGCTATTTGATGTTTCAAAAGAGAATTAAATTTTATTTTGAGGTTATGTTAGTAAAATATAAGCCTGTTACATATTGTTCTACCATGTTTCATGAAGTAGGAGTGGAACAGACATATTTTATTTTGTTCCATATAAAAATTATGGCAAACATGAAACAATAATCCATTTTCTATTATGTCATATGCCATCCAATATACCAGATGCATCCCAATAGTCTTTGTGTATGATGTTTCATCGAACACCAAGAGTTTATAAATATGTCAATTATAACCCCTATCAATTTCCATAACTGTCAAATCCACGTGGGATTGAATGTGACACACTTGGACTTCCATGTCAAACAAATTGGTTAAACTCGACCGTTTTAAATAGGGGAGTGCTAATGGCACCCTCTTTCATGTCAGAATCAGGTCATTCAAGCATTGGGAATGTAAAAAGCATATATTGACGTTGATGTATGTGAGGAAGAAATTCATGGATAGGGGTGCATTAAGCAATACATAGGGGTGCATTTAGCCCACCCCTTTAAATAACGACACGGCAGCTGATGACTTTAGCAGCTGCGTCACCGAATAGAATTATTGTCATGTTATGAGGTTTTCCTTGTTTCGATGGAAAATATCTGGTTATTTTATTTTCCAGATATATGTTTCGAATTCGAAGATCACTGAAATATGTGAACAATTTCAATGTTGGAGAACATAGTGATCTTCGAATTCGACATGACGGAACAATTTCAAGGGGGTTGATATTCATACTTTCTTACGTCACTTTTTCACCCCCTCCTCCTCACATACTCACCCTCTAGTTTTTTAAAAATTATAATTTTAAATTTACATTTTATACCCTTATAATTAATTTATTTATTTATTTTACATCATTTGCTTTTAAATTTTTCATTTTACACTTTTATCAAATTAACATACATAATCATATATCAATAAAAACATGTTTAAAAAATACATTTTTATTTTAACAAGTTACACCATTATAATCGCCTCGTTAATACCTTCGAAATGAGTCTAATATTGAATACTTAATTATATTATTATATATTATATATACTGTAAAAATATATTTTTAATATTTACGATTTATACTTTTATAGTTATTTATTTAATTTATGATACATCATTTATTTTCACATCATTATCACATTAAAATACATAATTTTATATTATCTAAAACTATATCTAATACGTTTTATTTTAACAAATTACACAATTATAATCGTCTAGTTAATTTCTTCGAAATGAACTCAGTAATGAATATTATTTGAATTAATTATATTATTATAATCGTATTTTCAATACATTTGAAATGAACACAATATTGAATATTTTTGGATTTAATTATATTATTATCTATCATTTATAGTACGAAAAAATATTTTTAATACTTACATTATATTCTTTTGTAGTTGATCATTTAACTTTTTAGTATATCCCTAACTTTTTCATTTTCGATTTTTATTTTACATTCTTATCACATTAATATACATAATTGTATATTAAAAAAAATATGTTAACAAAATACGGTTTTATTTTAACAAGTTACATCAATATAATCGTCTCGTGAATACCTTCAAATGAGCTCAGTATTGAATATTTTTGGTTAATCATAATATTAAATACCATAACTACATAAATTATTTTTAATACTTACATTCTATACCCTTACAGTCATTTATTTACTTTGTTTTATATACATTACCTTTTCATTTTTTGTTGTATACCCTTATCACATTAACATACATAATTGTATATTAACTAAAATCCATTAAAAATGATCCCAATATTGAACATCGTTTTATCTAATTATGAAACTGTAATTATATAAATATCATAAAGGTATAAAATAAAAATAAAAATAATAAATTTTTATAAAGATATAAAGTATATATATTGAAAAAAATTCATATACAAATATATAATTTAAAAAATACATATTTTTAATACTTTATTAATYAATAATAATATATAGTTAATTAATATATGTAATTATAGTATAGATTAAAAATAAAAAATAAAAACGTAAAGGATATAATAGAAAAATATTTACAAAGTTGAAGGGTTAAAACTAAAAATATCAAGGGTTAAAAATGAAAAATAAAATAAACTTATTTTATTTCCTTAAGTAGGTGAGGGTAGGGAAAAAGAATTCCAAATAGGGTCAACAAACATGTATAAGTTTTATGTACTAATGTCTATGTCTAAGATTCTGATTCTATACATTGGTCAAACAACCCAACTTTAATGTTTACGATTTAAAAAATTTCAACCCAAAACCATACGGGTTGGTCGGGTCGATACTTTGATACATAAAATATTCTTTTAACCTTGAATATGTTGTTTTCTTTACTTATAACTTATTTTTATCATCAATCATTTGGTATAACTTATCCACCTTTCTTCTTAAATCTTAAGGATATTACGTTTAACTACTTTCTCAATTTGCATATATACGTTCACATTTACTGAACATATATAACGAGTTATGTAGAGATGAGAAAGAGATTGAAGATATATATATATATATATATATATAACGAGTTATGTAGAGATGAGAAAGGATACATGATGGTGTAATTGTCTAATGTACATATTAATACAAACTTAACAATCATATTAAATTCAAGAAATAAGAGGACATGGGGTCCATCAGGTCAGATTAGGTTCAAATGGCCGTAATCAAATTCCAACTCAATACTTACGAGTTCGAAAACTTTACAACTCGATTAGACATTGAGTTGCTTCATGTTGTGTTATTTCGCGTTGGGTTGGATTGGTCGGTTTTTTTTTGCACCCCTAATTAAAATACTATATTTTTATTTCTTTAACCGAAAACAATCTGCTTTCTAATAACAAGTGTAGAGCCGGACCAAAACTGGTGGTCCAGCTAACCCATGATTCAACCCAATTGTCGAGCCCAATGGCACACATGATAATTTGCGGTATTTTTTTCACAATGACTCATGTGGCCATGAAGTTTCATCTGCAATGACTTTAGTTCATTTATAGGATAACTAAAGGTAAATCCATGACCTCAGACTTGGAAGGACAAACAGTTAAAACACCCATGAACTTTGCCACCTAACATTCGTCAATGAACAACACACGAGCACAGAGGTAGTGACGTATGCCTGAACCAACTGGCGATAGGCGGATCATGCCCTTTCCACAGTAAACAAGGTAACATCAAATGATAGTTTTTTTTAAGTATTTAATATTTAAATATACGGCAAATGCAACAAATAAACTCACACCCCTCCTCACCTACTAATTTACTTTACGACAAACAACAAAAATGGGAAACGCACCACAAAACTAAATACTACAATCTGTAGACAAATTAAAATTAATCAATTCTCAAAACCATTAGAAAGAAACGACAATCAATGGTTAAATGGAAGTAGAAAGGTAAATCCATGACCTTGAACTCAGAAAGATCAAATAATCCATGGACAATTGAATCTCAAAACCATTCTAAAAAAACCATAATGAATGGATAAATGGAAGTCAAAAGCTAAATCCAAGACCTTGGGACTCGGAATGACCCAACACCCGTAAACTCGGTCACCTTTAGCCACGTAACTCCCATCGATGGACAAGGCAGGAGTATATAGGATGGTAAACGAAGTAAAATCACAGAAAAACAACCTACAAAATGCTAGCTTACTCTACGATAAACAAAAAAAATCGACAAGACACCACAAAACTAAGATCCATCAGGTGTTTCAAGTGAAGCTAGCAGCCCGGTTTATGGACCATTTCAAGTCTTGTGCACAGAGAGAGTAGTGGTGGCAGCAAAAAGCCAAAAACTAAGATCCATCAGGTGTTTCATGTTTCTCAATTACGGAGAGCTATTGGGTCATGTCATTCATGCAAGATTATTCCACCGTAGTTAAATAAAAACATATGGAGTTGGAGACAAGGTGGATGTATGGCGGGCAGGTAATAGTAAGCCACATATATATTTTACGAACTCAAGAAGTAGGGAGGGCAGAATGGTCCTTTTGATTCGCAAGTCGTTACATGTTGGCGTAGATGGTCAAGTCGGTGAAGGAGAAGCATAAACAGGGGAGGTTATGGTTGTTGAAGTTATCAATTAGTTTGTGAACGTACCTCACGTTGTAGTAGAAATCTTATATCCAATTGATTCATCAGAACACTGCATTTTTGAACCACGAGGAACACCCTGCAGAATTGTGACAACATAATACCATAAGCACATAGTACATAATGACATTAATCTATTTCTTTTGAGGTAATTTAACCAGTAGCATAAATTAAGAAACCAGTGAAAAAACCTGATAAAACCACATTTTCCTTAGAAAACTGGATTCTTAATGGGTTCAGTTCATTTTATGGCAACAAAACTACGAATGCATTCAATCGCCAACTCCTAGAAACAATATTTTGTGATTTGATCAAGCAAAAGCTATTCATAAGCATCAACAAACGTGTTATGCACTGGCCCAATAATAGGAGTAATATTCTAGAAGGGGTAGTTGGGGTATTTTGATCCTAGAATCTGTTATGGCTGTGAATAAATAGGGAGTTAGTGAGAGTGAGGGATCATCCAGAAAATTGTCCAGGGTTCTGTTTAGGAGAGACTAGCCTCTCGAATGCTAGAAACCGTTCCTTTTTGTTAATTGAATCATTAGTCACTTGTTCTTGTCTCCTGGATATTACTTCCATTTTTAATCGGTCCAGTTCATAACAAACGGTACCTACTTCTACTTGCTCAAAGGAGTCCTTTCAGGACTGCAAAAGTCAGACCATCATCGCAAAATGAAATCAACGAGCCTCCAAGATTCGTTGGCAGAGCAGAACAATTGAACCTACATCATCAAAGATAAACCGAACAGAGAAAGAAGCCAATTCTGAATGATCAAACTCAACCCCTGGAGAACCACAATCAATAGATAAATGGAAGCCAAGAAATAGATCCATGACCTTGAACCAGAACGACCAAAAACCCTAGAACCAAGTAACCATTAGCCACCCAAAGCCCCTTAATGGACAAGCCAAGAGCATATAGGCCGTGGTGAACCTGTGACATGGATGCATGAACTAACTGAGGATAGACGGATCTTACCTTCAGGACGGTAAATGAAGCAAAACCACAAAAACCCCACAAAATTATAGCCTACTTTACGCTTAACCATAAAAATGGAAGACGCCACAACTTAAAACAAAACTACTATACTTGGACATATTAAAACAATTGAATCTCAAAACCATTGTTAAAAAAAACAATTAATGGATAAATGAAAGTCGAAAGGTAAATCCATGACATCGGACTTAGAAGGACCAAACAGTCAAACAACCATGAAATCGGTAACCTTTAGCCACCTAACCCCCTTCAACGATAGAAGCATATAGAAGGTGGTGTACCTATGACATGGATGCTTGAACCAAATGAGGATAGGCGGACCATCCCCTTGGGATGGTAAACAAAGGAAAATCATAGACACACACATCTAACAAAAGCTAGCATACATAATGATGGAACAACAAAAATGGCCAAGACACCACCCGTGACATGGATACATGAACAGGCTGAGGATAGGCTGATCTTACCTTCAGGATGATAAACGAAGCAAAAACCACAAAAAAAACAACCCACAAATCCTATAAAATACTAGCCTACACTACACTTTAAAATAAAAATGGAAGAAGAAGCAAACTAAACGAAACTACCATCTATTGAAAAATTGATACAATTGAATGTCAAAACCGTTGAAAAAAAACCCACCAATCAATTGAAAAATGGAAGTCGAAATAAATCCATGGCGTTGGACTAGAATGGAAGAAATGCCCATGAACTCGGTAACCTTTAGCCACCTAACTCCCCTCGATGGACAAGGTAGGTGCATTTAGGTGGAGATGTACCAGTGATATGGATGCTTGAACCAAGTGAGGATAGRCRGATCATGCCCTTGAGATGGTAAAAAGGTAACATCATAGAAAAACAATACAAAAAATCCACATAATGATAAACAACAAAAATGAGCAAGACACCACAAAGCTAAATGATACTACAATCCATAGAAAAATTAAATCAAGAAATTCTCAAAACCATTAAAAGAACGACTATCAATGGATAAATAGAACTTGAAAAGGTAAATCATGACCTTGAACTCAGAAAACCACAATGGATAAATGGAAGCTGAAAACTAAATCCATGACCTTGGACTTGGAAGGATAAAACTCCCATAAACTCAGTCACCTTTAGCCACCGAACGCCTCCCAATGGACAAGGCAGGAGCATATAGGTGGTGGTGTACCCACGACATGGATGCTTGACCCAAGTGAGGATATGTGGATCATGCCCTCAAGGATGGCAAAAAAGTAAAATCATAGAAAAACAATACATAAAAGCTAGCTTACATAACGATAAACAACAAAGTTGGGCAAGACGCCACAAAACTAAATGAAGCAACCATAATTAAACAATCAAATCTCAAAAACATTAGAAGAAAACGACAACCAATGGATAAAAGAAACTTGAAAGGTAAATGCCTGACCTTGAACTCAGAAAGGCCAAACACCCTAGAACCAAGTAACCATTAGCCATCCAACGTCTAATCTAGAAGCATATAGGTGGTGGTGAACCCATGTCATAGATGCTTGAACGGACTTAAAATAGGGGGATCTTACCCTAACGATGGTAAACGAAACAAAAGCACACAAAAAAACAATCCACAAAATGCTAGCCTACTTTAAACTAAACCATAAAAATGGGAGACGCCGCAAAATTAAAAGAAACTATCATTCATAGACAAATTGAAACAAAACTAAAAGAAACTGTCATTCGTACCCGCAATGGACAAGGTAGGAGCATTTAGGTGGAGATATACCGGTGATATGTAAAAACAACCCACAGAATCTACAAAATGATAGCTCACGTTACGATAAACAACAAAACACCACAAAACTAAATGATACTACAATCCACAGAAAAATTAAATCAATAAATTCTCAAAACCATTAAAAAACGACAATCAATGGATAAATGGAACTTGAAAGGTAAATCATGACCTTGAACTCAGAAAGACCAAAAACCCCATGGTGACCTTTAGCCACCCAACGCCCCTTAATGGACAAGCGAGGAAAATATAGCCGTGACATGGATGCATTAACTGACCGAGGAGAAGATGTTCTTACCTTCAAGATGTTAAACATTGCAAAACCACAAAAAAAGAAACCCACAAAATGCTAGCCTACTTTACACTTTACCATAAAAATGAAAGACAAACTACCATCCACAGAAAAATTGAAACAACTGAATGTCAAAACGGTTGATAGAAAACCACAATCAATGGATGAATGGAAGCTGAAAACTAAATCCATGACCTTGGACTCGGAAGGACCAAATGCCCAAAAACTCTATAACTTTTAGCCACCGAATTCCCCTCAATGGTCAAGGCAGGAGCATAAAGGTGGTGTTGTACCGAGGACATGTATGCTTGAACCCAGTGAGGATAGGTGGATCATCCCCTCGGGGAGGGGTAGATTGGTAATCTTGTCTTGCTCGGTCAGACTCGGTTCTTAGCTGTGAAGGGACATAAGTTGGAGATTCCGGTGTTCGATGGTAAAGATCCAGATGGATGGATTTTACGAGTGAACGTTATTTTATTTTGAATCAATTGAGTCAACAAGAAAGAATCGATGTGTCGTTCATATCGTTTGAAGGAGATGCGTTAAAAATGGTTTCAATGGGAGCATAAACGACATCCGATTACCAGGTGGGAAGATTTGAAACAGCTGCTGTTAAGACAGTTTCGTTCCTTGACAGCAGGCTCCTTATGTGAACAGTTTCTATCGGTGAGACAAGAAGGATCAGTTGAAGAATATAGAAGGAGATTTGTTGAGTTTGCGGCACTGTTAGACGGAATTCCGGAGTATATTTTCTTGAGTCAATTCATTAACGGTCTGGAGGAATCAATTAAGGTAGAATTGAGATTAATGAATCCCTTAACGATTAGCGAAGCAATGGAGATAGCCATGAAGATCGATTTGAAAAACAAAGTGTTAGCAAGGGAAAAGACTACGGTCTATAGCAAGAAGACTAATTCGTATTTCCATCCAATCCCAGAGTGGAAAACAGTTCTCCTTATCAGTCCTCGAACAGTACCGGGGGTTCTGTCAACTCGCCAAGTTCCACCAGCAGAGCGGTATCCAGTTTTCGTCGTCTGTCCGATCAAGAGGTGCAACAACGAAGAGCTTTGGGTCTGTGTTACCGCTGTGATGAAAAGTACGCCCCCGACCACAGGTGTAAAAAAAAGGAGATGAATGTTTTACTAGTTCAAGAGGACACAGTTGAGGATGCAGAACCAAAAATGGAAGAAAGAATTTTTAATGCAGTTGAAGTTAGCGATAAGGTTGAGGTACATTTGAATTCCGTTGTCGGTTTAACAAATCCTAAAACTATGAAATTGGAAGGAAGAATAGGCGAACAAAAAGTTGTTGTGTTAATCGATAGCGGTGCAACACACAATTTTATATCTTATGATTTGGTTAAACGACCAAATTTAAAAGTGGAAATTACTGGCGAATATACTATTACTCTAGGATCGGGAAATACGGAAAAAGGGAAGGGAGTTTGTAGGGGTATTACGCTGTTTTTACCCGATATTGAAATTCGGGAAGATTTTCTTCCGTTGGGATTGGGTAATAGTGACGTTATTCTGGGAATGCAATGGTTGGAGACACTTGGAGCAACGTATGTCAATTGGAAGTTACAGGTAATGAAATTTACTTGTGGGGGAAAATCAATCACGTTACGAGGTGATCCTTCGTTGGGACGTTCGATGATTTCGTTGAAGGCCATGGGAAAGGTGATCAGTCATGAAGGGCAAGGTGTTTTAGTGGAATTGGGCGCATGTTCGGTTTTATCAGGAGAGATTAGAGAATCTAATGTGATGTTGGATCCGCTACTAAAAGAATTCGATTCAGTGTTTAACATGGAGCAAGGTTTGCCACCGGAAAGAGGTAGAGAGCATAGTATCGTGTTAAAGGAAGGTACAGATACGATCAATGTTCGGCCATACCGTTATCCTCATTACCAAAAAGACGAGATCGAGAAATTGGTGAAATTGCATGTTTAAAGCTCAATTTCGTATGAAAAAGTATGCTGATTTGAAACGAAAAGAAATGGTATTTGTGGTAGGAGATTGGGTTTTCTTGAAGTTGTGACTTTACAGACGGAAATCGCTGGTACTTGGGAATAGTCCCAAACTTCTAGCTCGTTTTTATGGCCCTTATAAAGTGTTGGAGTGGATTGGGAGTGTGGCATATCGTTTGGATTTACCGAGTTCAGCAAAGATTCATCCGGTTTTTCACGTTTCTCAATTAAAGAAGGCGATGGGAAGTTGCATTTCAACTCACGATTTTCCAACTCAGATTTCTGAAGATTTGGTGCTACAAGTTGTTCCCGAAGACATCTTGGATATGAGACCATTATCGAATGGTGATGTGGGTCAATCTGAAGTTTTGGTCAAATGGGAAGGAATGTCTGATTCTGAAGCTTCTCGGGAGAATCTGGAGGCACTTCTGCAGCAGTTTCCTAGTTGTCACCTTGAGGACAAGGTGAAATTTTTGGGGGGGAGTATTGATAAACCTCCTTTGAGGTTTACGTATAGAAGAAGAAGCTAAGTGAGTCTAATTGTGCTGTCGAGTCTTACTGTAAACAAGAATAAGGGAGGGGTAGATTGGTAATCTTGTCTTGCTTAAATAGGTTGCTGTTAGAGAAAGTCGGTATTCTGTTTTGTCACTTTCTGTTGAATTTTGTTGAAGCGTAAGCTTTGGGAGAGAATCCCAGACCTCTCGAAAGTCTAGGAGCTGTATCAATTTCGAATTGCAATAGATTGGCCGACAATTTCATTCTTGTTAGTTCCAATTGCCGACCTAGCTATCGTGATTCTGTTTCTGTGTGTTTTACGTATACGATTCTGGCTAGAGGTACGTTTTCTGTTCGTGAATCAAGCTAGGGTATAACAGATTAATGCTTTCCATATGCATAGTTTCAACTTTACTCATATAAAGCTACTCTTGTGCAGAGTTGGAAGGACTTGTTTTTCAACTTATCATAACATTTAGTGGTTAAAAACAGGAGCTTATACCTTCTTTATAAAGTGAAAGTCATAGGATCGTCCAGGAAAGACAATGGTCCAGTTGACCTGAATGTGCTTTTGTAGGCCTATTAGCAAATAAGCAAAAGAGGTCTTTAAGATGATGGAAGATGTAGAAATCAAAATGAACAATTAGTGGTTAAATACAGGAGCTTATACCTTCTTTATAAAGTGAACGTCATAGGATCGTCCAGGAAAGACAATGGTCCAGTTGACCTGAATGTGCTTTTGTAGACCTATTAGCAAATAAGCGAAAGAAGTCTTTAAGATGATGGAAGATGTAGAAATCAAAATGAACACTTAGTGGTTAAATACAGGAGCTTATACCTTCTTTATAAAGTGAACGTCATAGGATCGTGAAGGAAAGACAATGGTCCAGTTGACCTGAATGTGCTTTTGTAGACCCATTAGCAAATAAGCAAAAGAGGTCTTTAAGATGATGGAAGATGTAGAAATCAAAATGCGATCACAAGGATTATATAGAACCAGCACACATCATAACTGCAATAATTGAACCACGATGTTTGGCACCAAACGAACCTACAGACAAAGCACAATCTCATCATGCAAGCTTACATACAATGGCAATTCAGAAATGAGAGGTTAAAAGAATAGTGTCAAGGAGGAAAATACAAGTGCCAACGATTCGCTAGCTATCTTCTTCAGTTAGATCAGCTAGCTATCCAGACCGGAAAGGATGCCCCAATGAAGAAGCCGAAAAGAATACCAACTGTGATGGTTACAGTAAGCTTCGTACACTCGTTTGAATGCCCCATAAAACAGTTTTCATTCACAAGTGAATCAAACATCAAAAAAGAGACAAACCTCCGGTTAATGGTTCCCTTTCTTCGAAATTCATACTAACAAGAACAAATTAAGCTGCAAGAGCATCTTTGCATTCTTTGGAAAAGTATAAATCCAAGCTGCCCACCAGAATCCCAACTCAAAACACAAAGCAAAACCTGAAGAAACCAGAGCAAATTGCAAAACGGATCATCAAGAAAATCATGAACTAACCAAAACCGAAAATACCCAGAAAACGATAGTTGATTATATGGATGGTACTCACAAAAAGATGAATCTTTTCTGTTCTCTTGGGATTTCTTCTAAGGGGCAAACAAGCAATTAAACATAAAGATGAATATAAAGAGTTGCAGTGGATACAAAATATGGTTTTGTGACTTCATTCTTATAGTAAACTGAATTCCACACAAGAAAAGACCAATTCAAATACCCACAAAATCCATGTGCTCCATCCCACAATTTCCTCCACAGATTACTTTGATATCAGGCAATTGAACCAATCATGTGCCTAACTTTTGCCAAATTAACATGCAACGATTGGGTTTCCTAAGCACCCATCAATGAAAAAAAGACCAAAAAGACAACATAACTACACTTCTAAAATATAAGAAAACCCCAATGGACATGAAGTTACTTAACCCTAATTTTGAATGTTAAAAATTTCTCCAAGATAAAACAGCCACTAACCCTAATGGGTATGTGAAAATTTGGATGTTACATGGAGATGGAGATGGATTGAACGATGGAAGCACGATTGAACGATGGGAGATTGAAGAAGACATGGAACCTCGCTTTAATATATTGTGATGATGATTCGAGTGAATCGTCATCTTGGGGAGTGAGAGAATTGCCTGAATCGTCGTATTGGGAGCGACACTTGTCTGAATCGTCGTCTTGGGAGGGGAGCGAAGGAAGAGGCGTCTTGGGGAGGGTAACGGAGCGAAGGAAGAGGCATATTAAAGGGTTGAAAAGTAAAGGTAAAGGTAGTATAGATAAGAGTATCTTGGTCATTTAGTATTTTAAGACTTTAAGACTTTTAAGACTTTTGTTAAATTTGTTTAGTAAGGTAGTATAGATAAAATCATTATTGTTTTCTTGAAAACACATAAAATTGTATTATAACATCCACAGAGACAAATGATAAAATAGAACATTAAAATCGAGACGTGTCTCGCTGCATTGCGCGAGTACTCTTCTAGTATCTATTAACGAGAACTTCCATCTAAACCACTTGAACTTTACTAGTCTAAACTTTCAAAGGGTTCCAAATGAATGAATTTAGACACAATTTCACAACACCAACCAAATCTCAACTGCTAAAACATTCTTTATGATTGTAGAACTTCACTATAGAGAATCACGCTAACTGCTACTTTATGATTCACAAACTCCAAGTTTGCTAGTTAAAACAAATAATAATAAACATCTTACCAACTAAACCCCCTCGTGCCAGTAGGTCAATTTAGACCCAAAACATCTAAATTTCACATCTAGTTACAAGTTAAAATAGCATGCGAAATGTCTTCAAAAGATGGGGAACTCAAAAAAACTAACGATTACAACAAATACTAAACAAAACAGACCCTCTCAATTATTTTGGTAAAAATGTCAAATAACCAAACCCATTGGTAGGCATCGAGACAAAAGTGAACAGCATATAACAATGTACAGTTTACCAAAAGAACTAACCCTACACGAGTACAAATTCAGTTAAGTTATCAACAAAAACCACAACAACAAACGATTGCTTATGTATAAAAAAGAGGATTTCAACTAGTCATCTTCTTTAAACAAATACGATCAAAGAAGAGAGAAAACGAATTAAAAAAAAATCAAATTCAAATAGAATGCAGTTGCTTACCATCAACACCCAAGAGTATTTTGCAACGAACTGGTGAGAGTGCGAGTTTCACAGTGTGTGAAGAAAACTGGTAGGGCACGGAGAAAGTGACAAGAAAAATAGGCATTGATGATGATTGGGAGAGTTCTTGAGGGTTTGAAGCAAAGGCGCGTGCGGAGGTCGGTCGCCATGGCTCTTCGTTCTCGAATACGCACGCGTTTGCCGTTTAACAAGGCTTTCTGTTTTTCTTTTTTTGTCGTTTTATAGTTTATATACAACTTTAGTCCCTATGGTTTGTACAAAACTATTAAAGTTGTCTCTTTTTTGCAAAAATAGTTATCCATTTTGTTTTGAAAATAATCTTTAACCCTATTTCCGTTAATTATAGTGTCATTATTTGTACACTAACTTTTTCTAAATTGAAGAGAAAGACAATAATATGGGCCTATAATTAACGAAATTTGAGTTAGGGGTGTTACTAAAGCAAAAATAATATCACCAAGATTATTTTTGCACTTTTTGCAAATGAGGGATCATTTTCATACTTTTGCATGAACTACATGGACCAAAATTGTAGTTTACTTTGTAATTTACTCAAATAATATTGGGAAAAGTTTAAAAAAACTCAATGAACTTTACTGTTTGGAACGATTAAATCCTTGGACAATTTTTTGGAACAAATAAACCTTTGGACTTTCTAAAATCTGTCAAAAAAATCCAATGAACTTTACTGTTTGGAACGATTAAACCCTTGGACAATTTTTTGGAACAAATAAACCCTTGAACTTTTTAAAAACTGTTAAATAAGTCCTTGGACTTTACAAAACCTGTTAAATAAGTCCTTGGACTTTCTAAAATATGTTAAATACATTTTGTTAGTGAAAAAGATATGAAAAAACAATGGATTTTCATATTTTGAACGATCAAGTTCATAAATATTTTTTGAACGAAAAAAATACTTACATTAAAAAAAAACAAATATACCATTCTCATTATTATTCGTAAAATATACAAAAAATGAAACCAAAGCATAATAATTTGCATACACATTTTGGATATAATTTTACCAAAAGTTAAACGACAATATATACCAAAAGTTGAATCAAAATATGTAACAAAAGTTGAACCAAAGTATGTAACAAAAGTTGCGCAAAGAAAATACTAACAATTGYGCCAAATATACCAAAAGTTGCGCCAAAAAATACCAACAATTGCGCCAAATATACCAAAAGTTACGCCAAAATATACCAAAAGTTGCAAAGTCCAAGGGTTTATTTGTTCCAAAAA